TGCATGCCCTAAATTTTCTGCCTGCAAACTCCTAGCACTTGTGGTAAATAAGCGAATCAGACATCACTTCTATGGGCAGTAGATATGGTTACAGGATTTATACATCGCTTTTTTCGTTCCCTATTTCATATTGAGGGTACTCGGGGCGCAGCTTGCCAGTCGCTGGTTCTTCTTTGCTTCATCATTTCCAAATGATCTTATGAGCGATGGGCATACGGCAAGTTGGAGCAAGGTATCGGTCTTATCGAACTTAAGATATTGTACGCACCTCTATTCATTGGGGATCAAATATCGTGGAGGTTTTTCTCCCGGATAAAGGCCAAATTTAGGCACACTCTGCGAAGTTTATCGTTTCAAACTCTCGTTGGCATACAGAAGATTCATGCTATGAAGGAATATTTCAAACACTGCTAATTTCATTTGAAAACATTGAGAAGCTGACACACTTGATTCATGTATCTTTTCGTCCATTCAACCGTATTTTTATTTCATAATCCTCTAACTTATCTATAAAAATTGACCGTTTTCATTCAGTCTAACGTAACCATCCGACGGTTTGTCTCTCACTTCAATCTGCTTTTCGTGAAGATTTGACGAACTAACTGGTCATTTGTTTCTTTCATTTTGTTTTTTTTTCAAACCAAAATTACGCCGTTTGCTTTATTTGTTTCCTTATCGCTAATGTAATTCTTGTACTTACCTCTGCTCCATCCTTCCCTAACGTCCGATTTTTCCCTACATACCTTTGCAATTCAACACATTTAGTCATGTAACCCCCGCTCCGGTGCCAATGACCACTCGGACTTCCAAAACGCATCATGGTTTCAATGTTCCCGGTCCTAGCGGAGCTGTGCCCATTCCTTCATCCGGTAACGCGCATCACACTTTGGTGTTGGAGCGCTCGGCAACGGTGGGCACACCAAATAGTAGCACCAGTGGAATCGGTAGTGCTAGCTCTTCCGTCTCCACCGCTCTGTCGTCGTCCAATCGGGGACCAGGTGGTGATGGAACTACCACCAGTAATCATACTAGTTATACGCCCCATGGAAATGTGTCCACGTCACGTAGTGGGTACGTGCTCGTCGTTACAGAGTTTTCCTTCGTATTATCAGTAATGCTAAATCATCTAACTGTCCTCTTGTAATTCACTTTCTGACTTCACGGTCGTGTCATTCAGGCGATGTATTCATTTATTTCCTTACTACGGCTAGTTGTCGTAATCATGAAGGTCGTCATCCTGGATGCAGTGTCATAAGGTGTGGATCGCATGCCATTTACCCGATTTTCCAGAAACTATTTTTGGGGGTTCGCCTGGAGTCTCATTGTAGATCCTAATTTAGATCATCTATGATCGCTTGTTATTGATCACTTGGCCCTGAGAACCGATTTGGCATGGGCTTTTGGCAATTCTTTTTATTGTCGTTCCGGATTACGCTCTGGAACACCTCGAAATGAGTTGTGTAACATGCATTGTTTGTGTTTATTCAGTTTGTAAAAATATATTCATTCACGAGGCATAAATGCTAAATAGCGAGGATGCCTTCATGCTTTATGCTTGCAAATATTTGTAACACCCACGTGATGATGTTCACTTGTAACGCTTTCGTTCATTGTTCCGTTTTTTATCATCCGTCTGCCTGTCCGTTCGTTCGTTCGTCTTCAGGATCCAGGATTATGCTTTCAATCGTCTTGATTTCGCCTACGGTTCTCTTAGGTAGGACTGCTGCATATGCTGTGTTCATCATCGCAGCCCTCACTATCCGTATAATTTAACCCGATTTACACGCATTTCCACCTCAGTTTTTCTGTTGATCGCACTAATCCACCTGCACCCACTCGTGTGGTTTTCAGTTTGGATCTTATAAAATGGTTGGGTGCACCGGCAATCATGCCTATCTAAATGGCACTGGTCTCATCTGTTTGTCCCCAGTTAACCTTCCGCTTACATTTCGCACGCCCTATTTTCTGGTGTCGTGTATGCTTTGTGGTTACTGTTGCGGTTTTCGTCTGTCCAGTGTTTATGTGCTTCGCCATCCAAATCGTTCCTCTCCGCTTCTTGTCTCATTCATCTCTTTTCAGTGACTTACCAAATAGTCTGTCGGTTACCTGAATGAAGATGGTATTGCATATATATGCTAATAGCCGACTAGGTGCATTGGATATCTGTTCATCCTAATTACCGCTTCAGCTGCTCACTTTTTCACTGCATTTCAATGCGGTTCACACGGATAGACAGAATCAAACTCTGTTGAGATATTGTTCTTGTTGTCTAAAGATCACACTGATATTATGCAACACCTTTTTTGCTTTTATATATATATATGTATATATATATGTATATATATATATATGTATATATATAATGTCAAAATCGATATTTCGGAAGAACGATGGATCGAACGCCCAGGTGCCCGCATCTGCCTTAAGCATGTCGACTATTCTCGATTCCTATCCTCTATCTCGTCATTCACTGTTTTCTTTTTCGAAAAGCGAGGAGTGAAATGAATTGTAGTAAAAATCAGTCTCTACTGCTGAAGAGACAGGAGAATTGCGCCAACGCATCCATAGTCATTTATTGGGTAACTTGAGCGCAGCTAAAGATCCACTTTTGACCAGGGTATCTTATTTTTTAGTCATGCCAGTTTGTCAGCTCAATATAAGAATGTACTGCATGCGTACTGGTTCTGTAATCTGACTGCCATGAAAAACGCTGCATTGAAAATCCAAATAAGTGTGTTTCACCGCAATTACTTGATTGAACTACATCATGGATCCCATCCTGTCGAATGCCGAAAGTATACGGTGTCCACCCATATAGTGGTGGAGGCAGTGATACTCCGTATAATGCAGTTACCAGCAACTGCGTACTTTTAGGTTTGAGGTGGCGGTTATTCATTCCTCTCCAATGCTTCGTCCTCTAGCATCTTTCTAGCAGACACCGTTCCAGCTGTACCGGTTCTGTTCGAAGGATTTGCTTTTGAAGTGCGTTCTAATACTGTCACACGTCTCTTATTTCTTTGCCCCACTTTTTGTTGTGCAACCGTTTACAACTCCGGTTCCACTTTCTTTTTTCATTAAATTGCACGTGTGCTCTGTTGTACCATACAACCACTCGTCGCTGCATTTTCAGATCCTCACTCACCCCTGGTGGAGGCCTTAAACACAGGCAAGCTTTCGCAGAAATCTACACGTATTTTCCATCCGCTTTGTTTTTCATCCTACTCGCCGACTGTCTTGCACCCTTTGTTGATTTATCAACCTGAGTTTGAAATCGCTTGTTGCCCCATTCCCAGAAATAATGCTGTTTTATTTGATTGACGATTTGCATCTCCCCGGTGCTCGCATTTGTAAACATACACTTCCGTGTATCCCCAAATCCTCCCGCATTCAGCACTTCTCTGTCGTTTTAATTGGTTTGCTGCGGTTCGATATATTATGAGCGATTTCTTGTTGCATATGCCTTTGTTTGTTAGCTCAGTTTTGATTTCGTCCATTAGTTTTTGGCCTAATGCAATATTAGTTCTCAAAAGTCCTGAGTCATTCGATAGGTTTAGTGCCGGTTATCTTTGTATTGTCGGACATCCATGATAAGAAACCGTCCTCATGATCTTAATCGATGTTCACAGGCGATTCGTGTGCGGCTCATCTAGGGAAGTTGAGGAGTCATGTCACAACCAAAGGAATCTTGTACGAGATGAGCACTTTCCCAAAAGCCATTTCGGTTGCATTAGCTACTACGACTTGTGAACTTTGCCCTAAAGAATCGAACATATACCTAACCTCAGGGAATCACCAAAACTACTCACATTATTCCACTGTTTCTTAGGATATGCCATTTAGTCGAAGACTAACAATCAGGTCCATTTTCCGGGATTTCAATGGGTTCCCAAATTTTTCAGTTCCCAGTAAATTTTATATTGAGTTAGTATGAGTTAGTGCATTTACATGGGTTTAAAACTGTAAATGGAAGACATTCATGAGGTGACTTATTATTCGCCTGTGTACTTGTCTTCTCTTCTCCTTATTGTTGATCGGCCTACTCGCGAGCATTTTTAGGAACACAGTATATTTATTTCCACTAAGAGGAATGCTTTTCCATCCTGTTCGGTTAATTATGGTTTGCAGACCGAAATGTATCGTACAGAGGTTAAGCGTAGAGTTTTAGGTATTAGCCGTCTTCCACTGGAGCAAGTAGTCGACCTTCATAGAATACGCTGGTTGGGGCATTTTTCAATTTGTACAACCATTAACCACGCATATTCGTGCGCCGGTTTTGGTTGCTGTCTTTTGGCTGCCCATTTGGATGAAGAACAGGAGAAGAAAAGAAAGTTGAAAGTGGAGTTAAACAGAAAATGGAAAAGTTCAGTGGTCTAATGTTGCAAAGAAATTGAGGAGATGCACCAACGCCACTGTTTACGACAGCTAGCCATATCACTCAGTGTCTCTAACCATCGGGTACGATCATCCCGAGTTCCCCAGCCAGGGAGCCTAACAGGACCTATGTGACCCAGTCTCCTGGTTAGGGTTTTCATACCCTCGTGCCAGGTCTTAACTTGACCGACCTTGACTCTTTTCCACTCAGTGCCTGCTTCGGCGAACATCGCTCGCCATGGTAACCTATCTGGTGACATGCGTAACACATGTCCCAGCCAACGTAATCTATGGAGGTCGACTGGTGACATGCGTAACACATGTCCCAACCAACGTAATCTATGGAGGTCGACCACTTGCTCCCGTGGGCGACCGCGGATACCGAAAACTCTATGCCTCACCTCAGCATTGCTCATCCGGCTAACCCACCAGATTCGTGCAATGCTGCGTAGACAGCGGTGTTCAAACACCGACAGTTTGTCTTTAACCTGTTTTCTTAATGGCCAAGTTTCTGTACCGTATAGCAGAACTGGCCGAACTGTCGCGGCATACACTCGACCCTTCACAGACGACCGGATGTCACAACGGTGCTACAGATGTCTCAAGTTGGCAAATGCCAACCGAGCCTTCTGTATGCGAGTAGACACTTCATCCGTGATGCCTCCACCGTGCGAGATGTAGTTGCCCAAATAACAAAACTTATCCACCTGCTCTAATAATTCCCCAGTTAGAGTGAGACTGGGTGCTGGACCAACCCAGTGTTGTATTAACATTTTACACTTTGAAGGTGCAAGACGCATACCAAATATGGCTACATCGGCATTCAAGTTATCCAGAAAAGCTTTTAAATTACCTGGATCTTATCTTAGTAGCACAATGTCGTCTGCGAACTCCAAATCGACAGTCTGCCACCTGGGAGTAAATCGATGCCACTATCCTCGCACGAGTGTAGGGCTGTTTCCATAATCAGATCTATAACAAAGTTGAATAGAAAAGGAGAAAGAGGGCAAACCTGACGAGCACCACTTTGCGGGGTGAACTCGGGCGAAAAAGTGCCGTAAGCCCGGACTCGACTTGGGGCATGTACTACGCATGTCACCAGATAGGTTGCCACGGTGAACAGGCTTTGCCGAGGCACGGAGCGATTCGAAAAAGAGCAAGGGTGATCAAACAAAAAATAGCATGAGGATATGAAAACCCTAACCAGGAGACTCGGTCACATGGGTCCCGTTAGGCTCCCTGGCTGGGGACCAGAGATCATGGTCACTGATGGGCAGTCAAAAGACAGCAGCCAAAAGCGGTGCACGAAAGTGCGTGAATAATGGTAGTGAAAAATGAAACTGTGTCGCACAGAAAGCAGATCTGTCACGTATGAAGTTTTTGAACCCTTAACTCTTACTGGTGCAGCGTCAGTATTAATAGAGATCCAGATTTTCGTCAGCTTTTTTGGGTTCATTAAGTGGCGATCTAATATATCCAAATGAAAACGTGTTTGATTCTCTCAGTAAAATCAAATCTAGTACAGCACATCGATCGTTAGATTTTCCCCTGCTTCTCAGTTCGTAAGAAAACGGCTTTATCCCATTCAGTTACAGTCCATACGCTCTTTGGTGATAAACAGCATTTTCCTCCACTGCCTCTTGGTTTGCACTAATTTGTCAGATCAGGTACCGTGTCATTTAAAACCCCATCGATTTATCGGAGCGCATGCCTTTCATTAGCTCTTCTTGTGAATTGCTATTTCTGTTGTCTTCTTTCGCGTAAAGCAACAGCTGACTGTTTTTCATGTTCACTCCGATCGCTTTTCGATTTTGATTGGCTTGATCATCAATTTTTCCGGTGATTTGTGCAAAATGTATTTGTTTAATCGAATCCGCCTCACTTTTTACTTGTGGTCATGTATGCATCTGATCGGCACCAGTATTTTCGGCTTCCTCTCTTGATAATTTGGCTCTGTTTGAAATTAATCACCAGTTGTCGTTCTAGTTCTATCGATGATGGAGATTCTGTACCTGAGTAATAGGTTACCCAATAGTCGCATAGTAGGTTCTTTATGTGGTTTGCCCCTCCAATTCCCGAGGCTTAGGTTGCGGTTTTCCATCACTGAACAGCAGATCTTGCCGACTATGGGGTCGACCCCATCTGCAGTTCATCATGCAAATTTGTGTAGCAAAAGAAAGAATGAGTTGAACGTCTTTTTGAGCACAGTTTTCATGTTATCTAGCTGTGTACCTAAGCGCCCATTAATATTCAAATATCATTTTACTCTACCTGTTCTTGAGAAGAACTGCCGAGGGGTAAAATGTTAAATCTATATACCGTCAGATTAGAGCACTTCTTTTGGAACTTCCTGGGACGAATTACCTCATCCATGGGCATAGGTTCTCAATTATCCGTTTAGATAATGTCTCGTGGAACTAATGTTGGAAAGGATTGATAATTTTGATGCACATATGTGGATCTGATCAGACACTAGCAAATAATCGTTGGCTAGAATTAATTATTAATCAATTATCATTGCTTCGTTATTTCTCTATTCACTTTGGGTCTCCTAAAGCCGTTGGTCATGCACTTTCGTGCTTCAGATTTGGATTACTCACGAGGATAATACATACGATCAATCAACGAAAAACAGGCTAACGACAAACGGCATTGCTCTCCGCAATCACTGTTTCTTGTCCACTTCGTCGTGTGTTAGTCACTTTCGTCTAATATGAGTTCAAATTCTCTTATCGAATTGCCTTATCTTGTTCACTTATCCAGTGATTAAACTGCACATATGCAATCCTCGGCGTGCATATCTTTTAAGTGCACGTGTCCCCATTTAGCATGGTTTAATTCTAGTGTGCACCATCATATGCATATCAATTCAGTGATGTCCACTCGCAAGTTGCGTATTCTGTTTGATTTTAATGGGTGTCACAATTTCGTTCTGAAGTGCCAACACATGTTGAAGCTTCATATTGGTTAAATTTGGTTGTTACATTTTTTTGTCTTCATAGGGCCGGACCTAGCGTTCATTCCACGTCTGCAGGTCGCCGTGGCCCGCACGCAGCTGGTCCCGGAGGCTTTTCAGGTTACTCACCTGCCAG